TTATTATTATTATTATTATTATTATTATTATTATTATTATTATTATTTATATGTATACGTACATATATGAATGCGTACTGTGCGTCCGCGTTGGCAATGGCGGAAGGAATCAATGTCTGCCCTCTTTTTCTTCCTTTCTTTCTTTCTTTTTCTTTTTTTTTTTTTCTCTCTGTCCGTCGCGTAATACCATTGCGGAGAACCCTAAACCCTAACGGCTACGACGAGGCTCCCTCGTATTGTCCATCCACCGAATATTATAAAAATTATATTATAAAAAGCCTATTTGACAACGCTTGTCTCGGGACACGAGATCCCTACGTTGATCCCCTACGTAAGGAACGAAGGTTTTTCGTACGTTCAATTCACTGGCTGGATCATACGGTAAGGAGCATCTGAAATTCGATTCGATTCGTCAAGCTCTCCTCTCGTTGCGCTGGAAGGTTTTTCAGTCAATTCTTCACCAATTTTTGGTGAACATTGCAAGTGTTCGATTACCAGAATCCTTTCGCATGATAATTCAAGTATCAGTGAAATTCATTGTATAAAATTTCGTTCAGATTGAATTCGTTTCCCCGAAGTTTTGAATTGGATCGGGATAACGTCCATCCATGACTCGTGTTACTAAGAATATTAATTCAATTGTGCAAAGCGACCCAGGAAGCTAATTGCCTCGTACACAAATTAAACTAAACTTTCGTCGTGCAAACGTGTGTACAAATGTATGTAGATTTGCCTTTGTAAAAATGACACTGCGATTGTTTCGCGGGACGTATCGGTGAGAAGATTCGAGAAGTCGAGTTCCAGGCAATGAGGGATTCCATCATCTTTCTCCTTTTCGTTTCCTAGTCGTTTCTATTCGGTAGACAAAATTGATAATGATCTACCGTTCTCGGTAAAAGGACTCGAAACTCTGTAAAGCGTTCGAAAAGCTCGTAGATTCTATGTACGTCTAGCCGAGACCAGTCTATATGGTGCAATCTCGATTTCTTGGTTCGATGCTTTCGATTATTCCTCCTCTACACTCTTTTCGCGCGTTTCATTCGAAACTTAAATCGCACTGATACAGCACACGCCAATACAGAAACGCCACGGATATCTGTCACAAAATAGCAGGAGCAGCGTTCGTTACAATTTCTCAAAGATTCGCTCTCGCAAGATCCTCAATTCTGTCTTTACCTTCTCGCCTCTGATTTTCGCTTGACACTCGCAAACACAGGGAGACTGTTGGTTAAGAGGTGAGATTCTTAACGAAGCAAGTAGACGATATAGAAATTGCCACTGTTCGAATCGATATGGCATCATTTCGCGATTCTTGAAGCAACATTAGACTGGAAATTATTCAGTCATCTTCAGTAAATAATTCGCTATTAGATTTCTACGACACGCACATTACCATTTCTAACAGCGCGTGAATGTTAGTAAGAAATACATAAATTAATAAGACACTAATGGCTAAAAGCAACGCTTATTATCTTCTTGTGATTTTCATTCGTTAAATTTCATTACACCAGCAATACGAAATTTCCATTTGGCACGCGATATGAAATAAACGTCCCTCTCTTGTTACTATCGTTTGTCGTTTCTACCTGCATCGCTAGGAATTTATTAGTTATTCACGTACAATATTAAACTGTCGTACAAATGTTCGTATATCCGTCGAAAAATGTATTACAAACATCATCTCGTGTAAAAGACTGATTCGAAAAATGGCACTTGGGGCAAGCCAAGTGACAACACGACACGTTCGAGCGACGGGGGGAAATGAGTTAAACGAGAGCATTGAAAAACGATCGTGAAATATCCTCTGTTTTTATTGCGCAGATACGTCGAGCACTTGGATCAGAGTGGAGATTTAACCACGGCGAATGCCAGTAGTTTCAATTCCATCACTTTAAACGCCAGCCATGAGTGTTCTCTTCGTGCTCCACCTATCCGATATTTCTCGTTCGTTGCCCCTCGCGACAAATACGATACAGTATGATACAATCTACGATACAATCTAGATTAGACTAACAGAACGCTTTGTTAGAAAAAGACTTCTAAAAAAACGTAAAAACCGCACAATGATCCGGACAACGAAGCTGTCGACTGTTGTTTCTCCACTGAAGCGCTAGATTCCAACGAATTTCGTGATTATCATTTTGTGTGTGTAATATGTGTGTAATATGTGTGTAACATGTGCTGGTTTTGTGTTATCTTCTAAATTCTATTCACTCCGTTTCCATCAGGCCTTGCTGGTCCATCTTCTTCGGCCGTATCGATCCTCCACTTCCGCTCCGCCATTTACTGTTCGCGTTCAACAGAGAATAGTATCACTAGATGATGGCTCGAATGAAAGCTTGGCCAACACGTTGCAGGCGGTGAAAAATCTCAAGATCAAAATAACGAGACAATCGGCACACGTCACATGTATCACGCTAACTATGTCATGCTGTGCGGAATTTGTTTTAGTGGACATTCTCGTGGAGGGTGAGGGGAGAGGGGACAATTGTTATGTAGTTTTTTTGTCGGCTTGTTCGAGGTCCAGGTTTCTCTGTTTCCTCTTTCGAATGCCTTTGCCAGCGGTTCGCGTTAGTACGTGTAGCTACTGATAAGTGAAACTGAAGTTCTCGGTACGTTGTTCGAAATAATTAGAGGGTTTTTCGACAAATTTGTAACATCGATTTGAAAGTAAATTTTTTCCCATCTCGGGTTTATTAATATCATCACTACAAACGTGTATAAATAATAATGTATAAATGAGATTCTCCGATTCTCTAATTTTTTCGAGCAATATATACGTATATATCTTGCGCATGCTCAAAGAATCGTGAAGTATTGTATAAAAAAGGTTACATGATTCTTGTCTCATTAACTGATGATTACAAATTCATTGAGCGTACAGACTGTATACACACATTACAACAATCCGTACAAAGTTACTGATCGTAGAAAGAAACGTAAAATAAAAATATCGCAACTAAACAAAAGTAGCGTTACGCTTCTGCCATCGCAGGGTAAATCGTGCTTTAATAGAAAACGCACACATCTTACGCATACATTTATAAAAGGAAAAAAAAAATATATATATATACCAAAGTTTTTGTACAAAATTGGGCAACAGAGGGATTTAACCCTTAAAAAGAAAGCTATTGTCAAGGAAAATCATACTTATGCTATCATGGACGAAATTTTATCCTAGTACAGCTCTTCCTTCAGTTTAAAAATCAGTAATTACAATGCAACTCATTGCAATATTCAATTAACTTTTTTAAAAATATAAAGTTGCATGAAAATTCGAAGCACAACTAACACTTCGGCGCAATTATGTTGAAATAAAGTCTCCACGGAATTTCACCCATGATAGAGTTTAAGGGTTA